CTTAATAACCTTGTGTTTCATCTTCACCATGTGCCTCCCTGGTGTTTGTCACTCGCTCAACCTTTTCATTGTCTCCACCGTCTCTTGTTTTGTTTTTTTTCCCCTCTTTCTGTTCTTAACCTTTTCTTTTCATCCCTTCCCAAGATTAAACCAGCAGCAGATCTCAGAGCTGCGTTCTCAGGTGGAAGAGCTCCAGAAGGCGCTGCAGGAGCAGGACAGCAAGACTGAGGATGTGAGTGGAGAGACCTCTTCCTTCTACTCTGCCCACTTTTATTAAAACTCATCACAGACCATAGTCTTCTGCAATCCAGTCAACGGAGTATTATTGACACTGTGTGTGTGTGTGTGTGTCTTGATCAGATGAATATCATTATATTATATTATATTATATGAAGTAGAAAACAGAGCAGATTTATATCTACAGTACTGTGAAACCGGAACGGCCAAGATTGGAATTTCACGTCATTCCCAGAGGTCCAAATAATGTTTGTATAATTGAAGCCATAATGTTTGAGGTAGCACTTCCCCTTGTATGACCGCAAAATGCTGCATAGTACACGGAGTATGTTTGAAAGGTTACTGTTGAAAGCACTTGTCTATCGAGGACTGCAGTGTTTGTTCTCCTACTTTGATACACGCTGTGTGGGAATTTAACCCATGTTTGCTGTGGTGATTCACCGTTAACGCCTGCCCCTCTCTCTGTCTGTCTCTCCCTGCCTGCCCCCAACGATCAACTCTGCCAAAAATCAGGCCATCGTAAGTACGGCCCACCCTCTGTCCAACTGGCCCATGATTGATGTCTTCTTACAGCTTGACTTTTGCAACTTATACTACGTTTGTGTGTGTGTGCGTGTTGCATGTGCCATTTAGGAAAGCTGTGTGTGTGAAGTTTTGAGTTTAATGCGTTTTTCTGCTTTCTTCCTTGAAGTCCTCCTTATTGAAGAAAAAGCTTGAGGAGCATTTGTAAGTACCCCGCTGCTTCTTACAGATTATTCATCCATGTGGGTTTCCAAACAAAAGTGAATTCACGCACTCTTGATATGCAATTATTGCAGGGAGAAGCTCCATGAAGCACACTCAGATCTCCAAAAGAAGAGAGAGGTCATTGATGAGCTAGAGCCCAAAGTGGACAGCAACAGTAAGTCAAGTCATCCTCGCTAGCTCCTTCAGTTTCTGCCTCTTTGAGCACCTGCCAGTGTCTCTTCTCAACACTTTTCTTTTTCTCCCCCTCCAGTGGCAAAGAAGATAGATGAACTCCAGGAGAGCCTGCGGAAGAAGGACGAGGACATGAAGCAGATGGAGGAGCGATACAAGCGCTACGTTGAGAAGGCGAGAACGGTCAGTCTCCCTAAACATATCCTCAGCGTATGGCTCTAAAGTTAAGAAAAGTACAGTATTTTTTTTCACTTGTTAAAAGTTTGTTTACCGGTCTTGAGGAGTATTATTGCGTAGGTGGGGGAGGGGGGAGTTGTATAAAGCCTTTTGTGGCTCTAAAGGGAGCTGTATGAAGTCAGAGAAACTGGCTTTTAACAAAGGGGAAGAATGTGTGGTATAAAAAAAGATGGTATCTCTGGTTGTGCAGCATTGATTTTAATCCCTTTTGTTTTTTTTACTGTCCATTGTGAGTCTGATTTTGACACAGGAGTGCAGTGCTAAGTCAGCGGAGTGCTCTCTTAAGAAATGTCTTTTGTGTGGGCAGGTGATCAAAACCCTGGATCCAATGCAACAGCCGGTGACTGCGACTCCTGACATCCAGGCGCTGAAAAACCAGCTGACAGAGAAGGAGAGGAAAATCCAGCACCTGGAGGTACAAACCTTTTGACATAAAGGGACAAATTAGGTCACTCGAGCTCTTTTAAATCTCACTAATGCATGGTGATCTGTTCCTTCGGCGCAGCATGACTATGAGAAGAGCAGGGCCAGACATGACCAGGAGGAGAAACTCATCATCACGGCATGGTACAACATGGTAAGTGAGCGTGCAAATGCATGAAAACATGAAGCAGACCTGAGGGGACGTCACGGTTTTCATGTGGAAAACATTCATCTAAGTGATTTGCATGATCCTCTGTAGTTGAAAAAATGTCTACCTCATTTTGTTTTATGAGAGGGGGGGGGGGGGGGGTTGAGGCCAAACAAGGATTTTTACTGGACGGAGATGATTTTCTAAGGACACAAGTCCTTTATTCTCTTTCACCCCCACACCTGTCTCTCTCTTTCTCAGGGGATGACGTTGCATCAGAAAGTGTCTGGCGAGCGGCTCGGTCCCTCTAACCAGGCCATGTCCTTCCTCGCCCAGCAGAGGCAGTCCACCAACGCCAGGAGAGGCCTGACACGACACCATCCAAGATAAGACCTCCAGGCAGGAGAACAAACGCGCTGAAAGGAAGTATAGAGAATATAATGTGATCTACACTGGACTTCATCTGGACACCCTATACCTTTTTATGCCTTTTACTGGATCGCTGCACCTCAGAGAGTATTTTTCATGCTGCTACTGCCCCCTGCTGGCTCTTAATGGTACGAGAAAGTTTATTTTCTCTGTGGGGCACCGGAGGAGAGAGGGATACAACTGTGTTTGACTGTGAGTTAACCCCTAGAAACAGAAGTAGGAGTAGGAGAAGTAGGGCCTGAAAAGAGGCTGTCTCACCTTTTAAGGTGACTTTTTTTATTTCCTCTTCAGCCTCTTGTACTCTGCCCTGTTTATGTAAGGTGTGTTTTAAATCTTTTTTTTTTTTTTTTGTCTTTGTATGTTATACAACAGGATGGAATGTGAACTAGTTTTGTTAAGGTTACTGTTCAGATGTGATAGACGAGAGATGAGTTATTAGGGGTATTACAATTACTGCTGTAAGTGCTAAAGGTGGACATAAAGCTACACTGCTTATAGACTGAGAACAGTCAGTCGGTAGTACATCTCTTTGGTTTTCTTCTTTTGTTTTGAACTTTCTCAGCTTTTGTTTTTTGTCTTCTTGATAATGTGTTTTGAAGTGAGTTGAGGATGTTTGTTTTTTAATTTGAAGGACCTCGAAAAAATGTAAAGACGATAAGGGTGTGTTAACGGCTTTAGTCCCAATCCACCCCCCCACCTTGAAGTCACTTGAATAATTTTCTTTAAAAAGTTTCCCAAGATAAAACCAAAGCACTTTCCCAGAAGGGTGTGTTTGTTCAGTGCCTCGCAAAACTAAAAATACGCGCCTCTATGGATGAGATATTCGCAGTGGTAAACCCCTTCTCCCTGTCTCATTGGCACGGATAGATTTTACTAAAAGAAAACGTCACACTCAAACGGCTCATTTTCATATGGTTGGTGATAATTTGACGTGTGGATTATTTTTCTTAATGTTCTCATTTGTTGCCTATGAATTGGATTTGTTTTTTTTGTTTTTTTATTCCCCTCCCTCTTCCCAAAGGTTGAAACAGGGTGTTTGGTTATGGGCTGGACCTCATTGCACTCACCACTTTAGACTCCAAACTGATGTAAATAAAGGCAACTAAAGGCCTCTTAGTTTATCACAGAGAATGGAAAACTAATACACAACGTGATTATATCCATAATGATAAAAACACTAAAAACAATGACTCAGCTAATGGCTGCTTACCGCTGCTAGACCTCAATTACAGTTTAACTGAACTGGAAGGATATGTACTTACCAATATGCTGGAATTCTTTTTTCTTGACCGGAAGTCAGGAGGAGGATCTAAAGGTTGAGCCTGTAATAGATGGTACATTCATCAACACTACGTCTGCCTGTATTCACTCCAGGTTAATTTTTCTTTTCAACAGATGTAGTCATTTTTGTCAGTCTCAAACCAGAGCTACTTTTTTTTATGACTTGTACTTCGTCCCTGTGAGTGTTTGTGCTATGGTCTACGCAGGCCAGAATCCTTCTGTTGTGTGCACATTCTTTTTTTTTCTATTTGAGTTGATATTTATGGTGTTAAATCACTCTTTGCTACACATTTGCATGGCTTGATGGGGTTAACTTTTAGGTTGTCAGTGTTTGTTTATCATATAATGGTCTAGTAGATTATAGCAGAGTGAACTTCACACAGGGATCTGAAGCAAGCTAAAGATTTGTAGTTCTGTCTGTTCTACTTTTGCACTACAAATAAATGAGATCTTAAGATAAGAGGTGGTGTGGTGTTCTCTTTTGCAAAACATTGAAAGTAAACTGAACAACCACTCGACGGTCCACACTGAATAAACCATTTATAAAACACACACACACACACACACACACACACACACAAAAGGATGTGAGAAAGAACACTAACCCGGGTTTTATCACTATGGCCCTTCTTCTGGTTACCCTTTTATTCTGTCATGCTCTAAAGGCCGAACAGATTAGTCAGACTTCTCACATCCTTCATGCAGTGGAGTGAAAGGGTGAAAGCATTGTTTATCTGTCACACCACTTTCAACAAGCATTTCTCAAACACTTGATAACTGGCCTACCTAAATCTAACTGCCAAAAATGAATCGCTAAACAAAATCATGTAAAACAACATGGTAGAGACAAATACTGTGCTTAAAGCCAGGGTAGGCAAAGTATTTCTGATTCTGATGATCCTAGAAATAGATTAGATGAAAGTTTAACTCTCGATTACCTAAAATCCATTGCGATTAATATAATACACCCCTGTATACAAGCCTGCTTTACTACCTTTGTCCAGAACTTGTATTTACAAAGTACCCAGAGAAAAATAAGGGAAAGCGTGTATAGGGAAATAATATATTGATTCCCAAGTAAACATGTGAAATGGGGGTTTTGTTTAGTGATTCATTTTTGGCAGTTAGATTTACTAATAACAGCTAAAGAGGAGCGCTGACTTATAATCTACACTGTATATAAAGTATATGTTTAACATGTTTGGATGTTTCAATCCAAGCACTGCAGGACAGCAACAGTAATTGATATTAGCATGATTTTGGAAGGGGGTATTTTTAAATATCAGTTTCACTTCCGGCACAGCAGGGGGCGCCATAGCCGCCCTGTGACGTCATCAAGAGACATTAAACATGGCCGACAGCGACTGAACTGATCGAAAAGTGTTGGTCAAATCTACGAAGTTCATAGTCTGTGCTGCAGGTATTCGGACTTTATTGTGCAGTTTGACTGTGTTATTATATTTGGACACATCCCACACATGAGTTGGAGGGTGAAGTTGAGTTTGTTCGTCCGTAAAGGCCGCACTAAACCGGGCATTAGCCCGCAGCATTAGCCACGTTAGCAGCCGGACCAGCGCCTGCTTTTGTTTTTGTCGGGGGGTGAAAGCGAAAGGGCTGACATTGTGAAGCGTTTTTAGATTTTTTAGTTCGCCCTTTTCTTTTAAAAAAGAAGTACACGTTTTACTGAACTGGACTGTGTAACGTTAGCTATTCAGTCAGACTGCGGAGCTTTTTGTGTTGTATTGAGGGTGGGGTCCAGCCTGTCGTGCAGCGTGTTGCCCGTGCTATTCATTCAACGCCAACTTCGCAACAAAGCAATACTTTTTAGAAGACGGACACATTGTCACGTTGAGCGGCTGGACTGTACCGGTGTGAACATTACGCCCAGGAATCATGGATTCAAAGCGCTCACACGGCAAACCCCAAACAAGCGGCGGAGGCGGCGGCAGCAGCGGCGACTCCAGCTGCGGCAGCCCCGCGTCCCCCTCCAGCAGCCCCGCGCTAGCATCGAGCAAAACCCCGGTGCCCGGGGGAAACGCGTTCGCTAACGACGGCAGCTTCATGGAGATGTTCAAGAAGAAGATGGAGGAGGAGAAGAGGAAAAAGGAGACGCAGCAAACAGTTGGAGAAGCGAGAGACACCGAGCAAGGACAGACTTCAGTGGAAAAGAAGCCCCCTCCCGTGACGAGCTTTGTAAGGGGTTTGGCAGTTGTAAGATGAGAGAGCAGTAGTTCAACACACATCCAAACTGAAGCACCACTCACTGAGTCTTTTCTTAACTGGCACTTCATTTATTACATCCTGAAATAATGGTCAACATGTCAGTATTATAATTGCCAGTAGCATCTCACACACGTCAGTGTTTTTGATATACATTATTTTGTGAACACGTTGTGGCAATATGTATTATTTGTAGAGAAGTCTAGGCTAGGGATGCTCCTCAGTGATGATGGTTTCACTGGTGGTGCCGCAAGAGTCTAAATGTAGACCTTCTGCTCTGGTGTAGTCTCCTTCATTGGCAGTCCATCTGCAAGGGCTCCTATAACGGTTTCAGTCTTCTATCCCCTAACCCAGGTGGGGAAGCGCAGAGGCGGAGTGTTCCTAAAGACCGGCATGGTTGCAAAGAAGCAGAAACACGACACAGAGGTATGTTGGGTTTTGATGGTGGGGTGTCGGTTTGAATTATGTACTTCTGACTCCACCGTTAACCACGTTGATCCTTCTCTCTTACAGGCTGAACCAGGCAAGAGAGATGCTTGGTCAAAGTACATGGCTGAGGTCAAAAAGTACAAAGCCCATGAGTGTGGTGACGACGATAAGACCAGACCTCTGGTCAAGTAGGCCCCGAAAGGCAAACGTGAAGCGACAATGTTTTGAGGGGAAAACCGTCTGGGAGAAGCTCCGGGAAGGCCGGCTAGTCCTGACCTTCTCACACTGCCAGTTCATGTTACCCTTTCACATCAAGTCTTTCACAAACTGCTGAGATTGACCAACCGGTTTCTCCTTTTGTATTGTTTTTTTTTTGTGTTGCTTGTTATTTGTTGGACTGGTAATTAGATCTGGTGTCAAAAGCTGTTTCAGAAACTTGGCGAACATTATTGATCAGTGTTAAATATTTTCAAATTTGTCATGTCTGGGTTGAGTTAGGGTTCACTGATAATTGAAGTTTGATTTAATAACCAAATGAAGTTGTCAATTAAATCTACACTGCCCATTAATGTGTGGTGCCTTAGTTTTGTTAATTCTGTAACAGATGCTCCCTTAAAACTTGGGTGTTGTATGGAGTCCAGGGGAAACTTGGTTTTAAGTATTTTGTTTTAGAGGGTTAGGGTTTCATTAAATTACTCCATTGTGAAGGGGAAAGATTTTAATTAAAAGTAGGTTTGAGTTCTATACAGAAACGAATTCAAGAACAATGAAAAAGTGTACGGCTCTTGTTGACAAAAAACCCAGTTCATTCAATTTGCAGTTTACATTTCTTACAGGTATCAGTGATAATTACATTATGATAAAAACAGCACCAAATAGATACACTGACCATGCATCAAAGAGGGAGGAGACCTACAAAGGCACACTTTCAATCCCACAAACCAAACGCATTCAAATCCTCATACACGCACATTCACACAGCTAAAAATCCCATTCATACCTTCTCCCTGTCCACAGTGATATAGGTCTATCTTGTAAACATTGACAAACTGTATTTGTCATTTAATTTAACAATTCTATGAAGAATAGTATTTCAAAAGTTATCAAATAATTTTAAAAAGTTATATTTAACTGATGTTCATGAAAAGTTGAGCAGATCAAGTAAGTATGTAACCCGGTCCTCATTTCAGACCCCTATCACATGTGGTCTGTCCATCGGTCTTCCAAAGTCACGTTCCATGATCCTGATTTGTCCAACATGTTGTCATTTCATAAGACTGCATCCGCTGAGTGTTTAAGTCCAGCTGTATCATAGAGTCTTCCTCTTAGCGTCTCCCCCCTGGCTCTGACTGACATCTGGACAGGAATAATACAGTTCTTAAAATGTCAGCGAAAAGCATCGACAGACAGAAGAACATTCTAGAGATTGGACGACAGCTAAAATGACTACATAGAAAAAGGGCATGCTGCCACCAACAAACGAGCAGAGAACAGGACCAGACAGAAAGGGACAACCCAAGACAAAGAACACCAGACACTTGAAAAGGAGAAAAGGAAGGCAGGGGAGGGAGTAAATGGAGCAGGCTTTGAGGGTGGGTCAGATTTTACCTGAGAAAGCGAGCTGCAAGTGAGGAGGCAGAGCAACCTGAGACCCTGACTGGAGACTCTTATACAGATCTGAGGAGACAGGACAGGGGAACAAGGAGGGACAGATACCAACGAAGGGAGGGGGGGAGGGGAGAAGAAAGGACAGAAGGAAAAGGAGCAATATGGCATAGAGGTGAAGGACAGGTAATGACCGCCAAACAGAGGAGGGCATAAAGACAGACGTTTGAGGTAAGTGAGCGACAGGTGTGGGGAAGTAACCAAGAAGGATTGGCACAGTTTTAAGAAGTGCAGAAAAAAAAAAAAAGGGAGAAATTTGGGGAAATGGAGCAAACAAAATGGAATAATGTCAAACCGGAGAAAAATCACAAACTTACATCTGACACACAATATGGTGATTAAACAAATGATGCTGTAACATACAACACAAAACGAGGCCTATACAGCAACAGACAGCAGCAGAGAAAGCTACACGCGTTCCTGCCTAATGTGTAAAAATATATGAATACACCAATTAAATCACATACGTACATGTAATATTTAAATTACATTTAGTATCTGCTACCAATTTTAAATGTGTGTGCGGCGTGTAATTGAAATTTCATCAGTATACAGTATCCATGTTTATGCCTCGCATGCGTCACTCACTCTGGGTCAGGGTAGAGAATGATGCATTGCTACTGGCTGCAGAGCCGGCTGCTGTACTGGAGCCTGCTGTACCCAGTGGAGGCAGGTTTAGCAGCGAGGGGAACTGGAAGGGCAGGGATACGGGCACCAGGCCCCCCAGCATCCCAAACCCCAGGGGAAGAGTCGAGGCTGAGCCGAGCAGACTGCCGCTACCTGCTGTGGAGACCTGAGCAGAAATGGGGTTAAAAATAATCTTGCAGGTTTAAAAGAAAGAGCAAACGTGTCAGAACAAGTACTTCCCTTAAGTATAAGTAGCAATACCCCAATTTAGTCCTCCATTAAAAACCTTACTTGAGTAGAAGTCTGAGTTATATCAACAAAAAGTATCAGAAGTACTAGCAGAACCGCCCCTCGTTGTGTTAGTGTTTACTATATTGTGTATTTATTACAGGAGACTCTTGTTTACCACTATATACACTGTATAGCCACTGTTGTGTATTTTGTGTGTTTCATCTATAATAATGTAGGCTGTAACTAGTGATTATTTTCATTATCAATGAATCCATTAAGCTATTTACCATTTTACATACAAAACATATGTTGAGAATCCCCATGGCAATTTCTTAATCCAAGAAGACATCCTCATGTTGCTTCTTTTGTCTGACTGACAGTCCAGAATCCAAATATATTCAGTTTATTGTGATGTAAAAGCGAACAAAAGCAGCAAATACTCCCAAAGGAAGATCGGGAACTAGTGAATGTTTGGCATTTTTGCTTGAAGAAATGTCTGAAACAATTCATTTTCTGTTGACTTGACTAATGTAAAATGTATTTTAATAAGGTTGTGTTTTAAATAAAATTAAATAGAGTAGAAGTATAAAATAGCATAAAATGTAAATACTGCCCTAAAGTAGTGCTGCAACACTGCACTCAAGCAGAGTATTGGAGTAAATGTACTCTGTTCCATTGCACTAACCCTTTGTGGTATGTAATCATGCAGGTCATTTTTGCTTTATTTGTGTCTGACGTCCACCCCAACACTGAAGGTGAATGGGATTTTAACTGAGGCACCTGAAGGGTTGAAAACAGACTTTTCACAAATTCAACAATAACACGTCTTTCTAGAAGCCATGTTCAAGTTAACTACTTGACTTGGTAGACTTACACACAGACTTTACTGTGGACCACAATAATTAGTTTCCTTCACGTTCCAAAGGAACACTGTTGAGGTCTGTGGACTCTCGTGGGTAGCAAATGAAACTACATGGTTACACACCGCTCAGGGTAAATGGAACACGTTTGTGATTTGGGTGAACTGACCCTTTAAATAAATGCAGTTTTATGTTTGGTGACATGACCGTGACACCCGTTGATCAGCACTTAGTGCAGGTAACATTCACTGCCATTTTTCTGTGCACTTTAACCTGACACAGTAACCACGTGTCCTTGTTCAATGATGTTTCAGTGCTAAAGTGGGGGATGATCACATGACTGCAGTGCATGTGCTGGATAATAATGCATTTGGACAATCAGAGGAAAACACTACAAGTACCTAAACAGAACAAACCTGTGGCAACTGTGAAGAGACAGATGACGATGGGACAGACGCGACTGGCTTGGCCCCCTGAGGTGTCCCGCCCCCGGGCCTCTGACGCTGGCCTGGGTTGGCAGAGGCCGTTGTGGGGGAGGCACTGGATCCTGAATGCTTGCTTATGGATATGGTGTTAATAAGGCTGGTGTTGGTGGTGCTGTTGTTGTTGGGGGTCTTCTGGCTGCCTGGGGGAGTGTAGCCGCCTTGCCCCGGCTTGATTGCGCCTCCTTGGGCACCTGAGAACTGCGGGCGGAACCCTGCTGGGGTTTTGGGCGAGTACTGGTGTATGGAGGGGGTTGCCTGAGACCTGGGGCTTTGAGAGATGGAGGGTGAGGCGATAGTGGTTACGGTAGGGTTAGGGGTGCGGGGAGTGAGTTTGACGATCGGCGGGATGCTGCTGTGGGTGGACTTGGTGAGAGTAGCGTGCATAGGGGTGATGAAGTTAGACTGAGGCCGGGGCTGGGGCTGAACTCCCGTGAGTGTTTGAGAGAGGGAGGACTTACTCTGTGGGGCCTGGGGCAGGCGAGGTGTCTGGAAGGTTTTGATGGTCATGTGTGAGGGAGATGGGAGGGGCCGAGACTGAGGCGATGTGAAGATGAGAGTGTCACTACTCGTGGCTTTATTATTATTGCTGCCTTTGATTAGGCCAGATGGGGGAGCAGAGACCCCCGTCTTTAATCCTGGGGCCATGAGCGGAGACGCAGTGGGCGGGGGACGCGGTTTAGGTGACGACGATGAGGTGGGCATGTTGGCTTTAGCCACACCCACACTCAAAGGTCTCTGAGTGGTCAACACTGAATGTCTGTGCGCCTGAACCGTGCCCTTAATCACCCCCATCCCATCCATCCTCACTGAGGTCAGAGGAGAGGACGTGATGGAAGGAGGCCGAGACAGAGAGGTGGAGGAAGACGAAGAGGTAGAGATGTAGTGAGGTGCATTGGAGCTGGGAGTGCTGACAGAGCTCTTTTTCTGCTGCTGGAGGAGAGGCGAGGAGTGGAGAGAAGAGGGGTTGGTGGCAGTCTTGGGTCCATCTGGGGACGGGGGGCTGTCCCCGTGGGCCAGGCCCTTGGCTGCGTTGCCGAGGATGGCCAGGGCCTGGGAGATAGAATCCAGGGAGGGAGCGGTCAGATCCTCGTCCAGGGAATCGAGACATATGGGCTCAGACGGTGACTGAGGTGGCCGCTTGGCAACCTGGGCTGCAGGCGAGGGAGTGGCTGAAGGTGTGGACCGCTGAACCCACACTGCCTCCTTGAAGAACAGATTACGCAAAAAAAAACTATATCATCTCCTAACATTATTACACAATTCCTAGTCACATTAAAAGGACAGGTAATAACATTCCTCTCATGCCCATTTGAACGTTTAAAGACTTTTTAGTTGCTCTAATCATTCTTTTCTTTACTGCATTCTAATGCTGCGTTCACACATATACATACAAAGTAGTAGGCAATCATGTCATAAGCATAATAATATATAGCCATATCTTTATATATCTTACCTTTGGCTTGGCCTTGGGGGTAGAGACCATCTTCTTTTTTGCTCTGGAGCAAACAAACATAAGAGAGTGAGAACAAGCTAAACAAGTCAGTTTTAAAATCGGTTGCTAATAAGTCACATGACTCACGTGTAGCCTGTGAGGTGACCATGAGCCATGATGCTCTCTTTGAACAGCATCCTGTAAAACAGAAATATACATGTCGGAAAATATTAACCCAAGAAATTCTCACGTAGAGGGAATTACTCAGCTAGCCGGTAAACATTCGGCGGGCTTCGGTCTTGTCTTGCTAGTTAAAGCTATTGTTGAAGATAGCAGGTAGTTATTAGAAATCCTCCGACCTGGCCTGCATCCAGCCTTTAGGCCAGAGAGGTTTGACTTCAGTCTCCATGAAGGCTTTAAGGTAGTCTTCGAGAGACAGCGTGTTCTTGCCCTCCAGCTCATAGCAGCCCAGTTTCACCCGCACCAGGTTACACAGCAGCAACCTGGCAAGCACACACAATACAAACAATACAGTAAGAACTCCCCGACTCTAAATCACTGCAGAGGGTAAAACAACTGCGATCACTGTGTGCATTCACAGCCACTTGCATGAGAAATTAACTCCTTTCCTAAGTGAAACTGACCTGAGTTTGTCATCCCAGATAAACTTCTTTCGAGGGCCCATCACCCTCTTCCCTGGTTTCTCCTCATCATCATCCTCTGACCCGTTCTTTTCTCCCTCCTCAGACTGCTGCCTGTGAACAGAAACAAACATCACGTAGCACCCTTAGAAATTATATGACGGGAAATATGTTAAGAAAACAGATACACTGAGTGTGATAATCTGTGGTCCTCTCTGTCCTTACTTTGCCACTTTAGCGATACAGTCCATGTTGTATCGAGCAATCTGCTCCGGCATCACACTGCACACTGCCAGTTTCAGCTTCAGCAGGGGCGTTCGGAGGCGGTCATCCTGGGCGACGGAGATAAGCACGGTCAGAAATCACACACACACGTGCGCGCACGCTGAACGGCAACACTCGCATGCTAAATATATAATTGGATAATGGCACATAGCCATCAGTAACAAAAAACAAGAGCTTTAACACAGTTACATTTAGAGGCATGTCCTTTACAGAAAAATGGGTAACGTAAGCTGGCCAGAAAAATGGGTAACGTAAGCTGGCCATCATTTTCTAATCGACTCGATAAAACAGAATGAAAAATTATTCATGTCACTGTGGGTCCCTGTGATGAATCTCCTGCATTACACAACATGTAGCCATTCAATTCTGCAGAGGCCGGTATTTAATAGGCGGACTGCAAGTCCTCCAGCGCTGCATCCTGGCAACATTTTTTGTCCTCGTCGTGTCTTTAAACAGTCTGACTCCGGCTCACCTGTATGTTGAGGCTGAGCTTCTTAAGGCGTTTGAGCAGGGCTTCTTTATTGCAGGGCACGAAGGCCTCCAGGTGAGAGTAGACGGCTGAACGCACCTCTGCAGGCTGCTCCTGAACCTGCAGCTCAATACTATTGCACACAGATACATATGGAGATTTCATTAGGTGTAGGGAGGTTGCTGTTTTAATATGTCTGCAAAAGTGTGAAAGGTACTCACTCCAGTAGGATGTTGTTCATGTCCAATGTGAAGAATTTCTTCCTGCCCTCTTCGTCAAACAGCCGGGACGCCTGTGCCAAGAGACAAGCATTAGATAACACATGATGATTTGTTAATCTCATTTATCCTAAGAGTGTGTCACATAAACACAGCTATCACAAAAGGCATGAGGACATCGTATGTTTGAGCCCTTTGTGCCATGTATCATTAGGATGGTTTTCTGCAGTCCCATTAGAACAAGAACATTATTTGTATCATGATTCATTCAATCAGATTTAATTTACACTCAAGTTTAGTCACTGAATTAATTAGTCGATCAAAAGAAAATTTATCTGCCGCTATTTATTTGGAGTATAGGTTAGATTGAACAATCTATGTCATTTTTTTTCAATAATAATGCACATTTTCACTCTTATAAGACATTTTGTGAAATGATGAATCAACTAATAAAAAAGAATCTGCTGATTGATCGATAATGAAAGTAATTGTTGGTTAAGAAAACATGTGATCCAGTGGAATACTGAAGTCCGTACCGCTCTCAGATCTTCGATGCGCTTTGCGAGGGGGCCTGGGAGTCCACTGGGCAGAGGAGGAGGGGTCATCACGTTACCTTGTGACAGTCTGCTAGCACCTGCTTTATGTCCCATCCCAAAGGAGCCGTTCTCTCCCTGCACTGGACTAGAGGGCTGAGGAGAGTCCAGCATCCCGAAGTCCAGGTCACCCATCATGTCCTGCAGAATGTCGTTATTGGCCGAGCCCAGCAGCGACATCACAGCGGGGTCGGCGGCCAGGTCAGACATGTTGCAGTCGTTGCTGCCAGCAGCCTTGGAATGGGTGTTGAGGAGTGCACTGTTGGTGTTGGGCACTTTGGTGGCGGGTCGTGGCAGGCCGGCTGCAGCCATGTTCTTCTTGCGCATCTCCTCCTTCTCCCTGGTGAAGCGCCGCAGCATGTTGGCCAGGTGGATCGAGTCCTTCATCAGCTTCTTCCTCTTTTTCTTTTCTGGCCGATGAATATTCAGGGATGAAACTCTGCCAGCACAGAAGACACAATAAGAAGAAAGACAATTAACTGACTGACACAGAGAACATGTTCAGGAATTAATCTGTAGTGATCACCTTCCTGGGTGGGCAAGGGTGCAGATGGGCAACCATGATATGACATCTGACTAACTTCAAATAAGAGAACTTATTGTTCCAAACTATACGATTTTACAACTTAAATTCATCCACACATGAGACAGCATTATCACACAGACTTGTGAAAATAGGAAATATTCTGTGCATGGAAAAAATATGAGAAACAACAAGCCTGAGAAGAAGCACTGAAGAAAAATGAAAACCTCACCCGGACTTTGGTACTTTGTTTTTTCTGGGTTTCTTGTCCTCCAGAATTCCACCATCTTGCTTTTTCCGACGTTTCTTTATCACCCGCTCCTCGCCATCTTTCATCTTCTACAAACAGGTCCAAAGGATTTGGTTTATTAATATTAACTTGGATCTGCCTGCACATATACTTCACTATGTGCTCATACGAGTGCAGAGAAGGGAGAGCGTACCTTGAAGTGATTATCCTCCGTGCCTGCATTTTCTCCCTCAGAGTCGGACGCTGCTCTGAACTGCAGAGTGCCTGTGTTGATGTAGAAGCCTCCGTGTTTTGTGGTGAGCGAGGCCGGCACCAGCTCGTCATACTGAGGCCAGGAGAGAAGTATAATTACTGTTAGTTTTCTTCTACTGCTGCGTGCGGCACCAACCTTTTACCACTAAGAAAAACAACAAAAATTACACTGTTGTCCCAAATCTATTCCACATAAGACCTTCACTTTAAACTACTCTTTGCGGCATACTGTTTTTACAGTTAGTATACAAGAAAGTTATGTGCTTGAGGATTTGTACAGATGCTATAATTAAACTATCTAAAATCTTTCTCAAGCCGTTTCACCACTGAGCCCAACTAATTTTTTTTTTTTTCCAGTAAGGATCTCATTCCCATTGCATGTTGCACTGTGGGACAATATCTTCCATTACCGCCACACTCAAACACAAGTGACTGTGGCGATAAAATCAATGTGTACCAAGCTTCACTTGATCCCAGTCGACAGTTTCAGCCAAAAAGAACGACTAAAACCTTCAAGCACTGTAGGTGCACACACTGGAAAATAGTTTGATGTACGGTGAAAGTCTGGGCTTCGTGCTGACTATTAAAAAAAGAATTTAACATATAAGTGACGACATATGAGTAATGCATAAAGTGATGCGTGTGCATTCGCAAAAGGGAACTCACAGCCTCTGAATTGTCTATGAAAGGGTCGGTCTCATCATAGCCGTAGCCGATGTCAATGAGATCCTGCATCCTGTCCTTTTTCTTCTTCTTTGGGACCCCACCCTGCGAACAGAGAATGAAAACACAGGGGCCAAAAACATTTAAACATATATATTAGACATCTTTCTGCACACACAACATTCACACAGTCACACTTGTAGCAATAAATTCATATATCTTGAGACTGTAACACTCACATATTTGCTCTCAAATTTCTTGGCCAGCTGTTCTACCTCCCGTCTCTCCCTCTCATCGTCAGCAAAGGGGTCATTGGGGTCCAAAGGAGGAGCAAGTCCTTTAGGTACTGTTGAGCCTGCAGGCTTTACCTGAGGAAAACAAGAAATCTGTCAACATAATGAAACGGGAGCAAAGGGGTTTTTAATGTTTTTCTACATAGAGTGCCTATTCTCTAATATGGATATGAACCTCATCAGTCAGGTCTTCGTTAAAGGGAAACTCAATGAATTTACACATGTAGACCTGTTTACTCACTATAAGGAGAACGAAGCCTGTGAAGACGGTTGTATGATGAGTTCTGGGGGCGCGATTTCAAATCAGAGATGGTTTGCATTGCAAAACAGGGGGGTGGGTGGAGTTTGAAGGATAAGGCCACATCCATGTCATATTAGAGTAAAAGTAATTATGAGATTATGGTTTGTAAATATACTTTATGTCAACATCCCAGCGGTTATTATAACTGGGACTTTTCTGAGAGCTCAGATTTAGCCAACTTGGCACCTCATAACACAGAAGTGCCTCAAAATCATAGAGACTCCTCACGTCAGCCAAAATAAATACTATGAAGTGTCTTGAGACTATAGAAAGCTGTAAACAAGGGATTTTTCTCTACCATCCATCTCCTATAAATTACATGAACGTGGCATTAACCAGGCAGGGAAGGGGTCTAACAGAGGAGGAGGATCCGGTGTTTCTGGAGTTTTACTCACACCAGGGACTAAAAGTAAATACATCTGCCTTACCAATTATCTCTCTCTCACAAGTCCCCCAGTTTTAAGGAAATACAATATGCAAATCTCTGAATAGCATGCAACATTCATTCTGAACACTGATGAATTCCCTGACTAAATCTACCTGCCCAGACTCTTGGTCAGGTTCCCAATAAGTAAATACTGAGCATAACGAGTTATTCACTGGGTCACTGCTGAGAGCCTAACTGACACACAACATGCAAGATTAAAAGTGTCTAAGTAAATAACAGCATCTCTGAGTGGTACACCTCGGCCTCACCAACAGGCACCACTCGTGAGGTGATGCCAGGTTAGGCCCCTCCTGCTCGCATCATGGTGCCCGCTGTGTAGCTCTGCTCTCTCCGTACCTGAGAAAGAGTTGAGTTGACCAGCTCGCCGTAGTTGAACTCCGCGGACGCTCGTTCATTCGGCTCGGTCAGCGGGAGGTTGAGGCGCACGGTGGGTTTCGCCTCGTCGGTCTCGCCCTCGCCTCCTTTCGGGGTAACGTTCCCAAACGGACCTCCTCCGCCTCCTTCTGACCCTGCCGCCGCGACACTTCCACCTCCATCTTTCCCAAAAGTGATGTCGACGGCCTCATCTTCGCGGCGGCGTTTCTTGCTGGACTCCGGGGTCGGCGGCGAGGCGTTGAAGGATGAGATGGTGACGAACGGCACTTTCCTCGGCTCTGCCATTTGACGCTCTCCGTCCGACGAGCGGGCACGCAAAACGGGGAGCGCCGCACTCCTCTGAGCCGCCGCGGGCTGAAAATCTAAACCTGGAGATGGTCGACAAGTACAGCTAGCTGGCTGCTCTGCTAGCTAGCTTCCTCGGAATGAGTGCAGCAGGCGACACAATGACTTTTATCTCCTCCCAGCCCGTGTTAATCCATATAGTACTGACCCTGGCACCGACCCCGTCACCTACGAGGGACTTAAACTGTGGGAAATCGCAGTTTTGAGTGCTTCCATGAAATTGGTGGTTAGCTACCGCAAGGAGGATTCCGTAGTAGCCATCTTGATCATTATTATCATTATTCAGTGGCTGGGCGTGCGCATGAAAAGAAAGCGGAAGCCAGGGAGGAAGGGGAAGTGTTTGTCCAATGGCAGAGCTGAAACACGCCCACCTGACAGACTAGCGCGAACGTGGAGGAGATGATTGTTCTGCACGGGCGGGATGTCCGGATTCCCTGAATGCGTTTCTACTGTTTACTACAAGGACGACACGTTAGCTGTGTGTTTTTTTCTGCCCCTGTGTGCTCGTAAAAATCCGGAAAATAAACATTTAATACCCCATAAAGCCAAAGAGGTGCACTCTGAAATGACGAGTGAAGTTCACGCTGCTAAATAAATAAAGATATGTCAGTGTTGCAAAACAGGTGCAGAGGCTACAGATCGTTCGTGCTTTTAGTTAGTCTTAACTTACGTGTCTTAATTATTACTAGCGATTTTGCATTTCTCATCTCGTTTTTCAATCGTTAATGCAAATAGTGCACTCACTTTTCAAACATCTCTGAGATATTTGAGTGGTTAAAGCCCTAAATGACTTTATATAATCACACAGTTGGATCTGGTTTGATGCTCTTGTTTGACTTTTTCCGTTATTCCCTTGTGTTGGTTTATTTGTTCACGTGCTCAGCATTCTTCTTTCTGATGAAGTTAAAGATTGTCACTGCCAGTTTGTGCTGTAAGTATGTGGTGCTTCAATAGCGGCCTTCAGCTCTTCTGCATTGTTCGGTCTCATGTCTTTCATCTTTCTCATGGCAATGCCCCATAGATTCTCTATACGGTTCAGGTCAGGCAAGTTTGCTGGCCAATCAAGCACAGTAATCCCATGGTCATTGAACCAGGTTTTGGTACTTTTGGCAGTGTGGGCAGGTGCCAAGTCCTGCTGGAAAATGAAGTCAGCATCTCCATAAAGCTCATCTGCTGAAGGAAGCATAAAGTGCTCTAAAATGTCCTGGTAGACGGCTGCGCTGACTCTGGACTTAATAAAGCACAGAGGACCAACACCAGCAGATGACATGGCTCCCCAAACCAACACAGACTGTGCAAACTTCACACTGGACTTCAAGCATCTTGGATTGTGTGCCTCTCCATTCTTCCTCCAGACTCTGGGACCTTGGTTTCCAAATGAGATGCAAAATGTGCTCTCATCAGAAATGAGGACTTTGGACCACTGAGAAACAGACCAGTTCTTTTTTTCCTTTAGCCCAGGCGAGACGCTTCTGACGTTGTTTTTTGTTCAGGAGCGGCTTGACAAGAGGAATACGACATTTGAAGCCCATATCCAGGACCCGTCTGTGTGTGGTGGCTCTTGATGCAGTAACTCCAGCCTCAGTCCACTTCTTGTGAAGCTCCCCCACACATTTGAATGGCCTTTTCCTGACAATCCTCTCCAGGCTACAGTCATCCCTGCTGCTTGTGCACCCAACGAAGGTTAAAGTCAAGGGCAACTGGACTTGGTTGAAGATACTGGAAGACGTTTCGTCCCTCATTCAAAGGACTTCTTCAGTTCTGACTAACTGGCAGGGAAACTCAGCTATTTAACCTCAGTGGGGTCGTTGTCCCGGGTCATCGATACCGCTGGTTCGTCAGTGTTCCTTGTTGCTGTGACGACAGTCGTTACAGTTGTTACGACTACTTGTGGCCAAGACTGAACGACCATCGTTGGTATCTTCACCTGAGGCCAATAGGTTACGTTTGTTGAGTTTCCTGGGAAGTGATGAAAGGACAGCATTGTAAGTGGGGGATAAGTGGTGGCGTAGACCCCCTCCCCTGTTCAATGACGGCTTCTCGACCCTGGTGTAGATGCTTCCTTGACACCTCTTTCAAAACATCCATCTTCTCTGTCTAAAATGTGCACCTGGTGGTCCTCAAACGAGTGTCCTCTGTCCTTCAGATGTAAGTAGACAGCAGAGTCTTGACCTGAGGAGTTGGCCCTTCTGTGTTGAGCCATGCGTTTGTGTAGTGGTTGTTTAGTCTCCCCAATATACAGGTCTGTGCATTCCTCACTGCATTGGACCGCATACACTAGATTGCTTTTCTTGTGTTTGGGTGTGCGGTCTTTGGGGTGTACCAGCATCTGTCTTAGTGTGTTCTTGGGTTTAAAAAACACAGGGATGTTATGTTTGTTAAAAATCCTCCTGAGTTTCTCTGATACTCCAGACACGTATGGAATCACAATGTTGTTGCGTTTGACCTTCTTTTCCTCCTCCCCTGTAGTTTTGTTCTTCTTGGATCTTGTGGCTGTCTTCACAAAGGTCCATTTAGGGTATCCACAGGCTGTAAGTGCCCCCTTCAGGTGGTTCTGTTCCTTCTCTCTGGCTTGGGCGCTTGTTGGTATGTTTTCCGCTCTGTGGTGCAGTGTTCTCATGACCCCTAGCTTGTGCTCCAGTGGGTGGTGGGAATCGAAGAGTAGGTATTGGTCTGTGTGTGGGTTTTCTGTAAACACCAATCTGCAGGCTCCTGTCCTCTTCAATGTGTACAGCGCAGTCCAGGAAGGCCAAACTGTTGTTGTGAACATCTTCTCGTGTGAACTTGATGTTACTGTCCACAGAGTTGATGTGTTCTGTGAAGGCTTGCACTTCCTGGCATTTCATTTTGACCCAGATGTCGTCCACATATCTGTACCAGTGGCTCGGTGCTGTTCCTCTGAAGGAGTTGAGGGCTTTATTCTCCACTTCTTCCATGTAGATGTTGGCCACAATCGGGGATACCGGAGAGACCATGGCACAGCCATGCTTCTGTCTGTAGAATCCACCGTTGTACTGGAAATAGGTGGTGTTTAGACAGAGGTCGAGTAATTTGCAGATTTGGTCAGGGCTGAGGCTAGTTCTGTTGTCCAGGGTGTTGTCCTGTGTTAGCCGTTTCCTAACGGTTTCTACTGCCTCTATGGTGGGAATGCAGGTGAACAAAGAAGTCACGTCATAGGATATCATGGTTTCATCTGGATCCAGTTTTAGTCCTCGAACTTTGTTTACAAAGTCAATAGAGTTTTGGACGTGGTGAGGCGTGTTTCCCACCAATGGAGCTAAGATGGTGGAAATGTGTTTGGCAATGTTGTAGGTGACCGAGGTAATGCTGCTAATAATCGGCCTGAGTGGGGCTGCTTCTTTGTGTATCTTGGGTAGTCCATAAATGCATGGAATGGCTTCTCCAGCATACAAACGGTAATATTGTTCACGGGTGATGGTGTTGTCCTTCTGTAACTGTTGTAGACATTCTATGGCCTTTTTCTTGTATCTGCTGGTTGGGTCTCGTCTCAGTGTCTCATACGTGTTTGTGTCCATTAGTAGTGTGTTGACTTTGTTCTGGTAGTCAGCTGTGTTAAGTACTACAGTCAGCCAGTCAGTCAGAACTGAAGAAGTCCTTTGGATGAGGGAGAAACGTCTTCCAGTATCTTCAACCAAGTCCAGTTTCCCTTGATTTTAACCTTCGTTGGATAACTATGACCTGGATGACAGAATCTTCATAGACTGCTTGTGCACCCTTTTCTTCCACACGTAACTTTCTATTAATGTGCCTTGATACAGCACTTTGAGAAACTTCTTTTGCATTTACATTTTGAGGCTTTCCCTCCTTGTGGAGGGTGTCAATGATGGTTTTCTGCACAACTGTCAGGTTAGCAGTCTTCCCCATGATCAGACTGAGAGACCAATTAAAGGCTCAGGAACCCTTGGCAGGTGTTTTGGATTAATTAGCTGATTAGAGTGAGACACTTTAGGCCTACAATACTGAACCTTTTCACAATATTCTAATTTTCTGAGAATTTGAATTTGGGGTTTTCATAAGCTGTAAGCCATAATCATTGAAATTATATCAAATAAAGGCTTATATCTCACTTTGCATGCATGTAATGAGTCTATATAACATTAGTTTCACCTTTTAAGTTGAATTACTAAAACAAATGAACTTTCATACAATGCAAATTTTTCAAGTTTCACCTGTAAATTTCTAGTGAAGTTATTGGCCTATCAGTAATCACTGAATTGACTGTTTAAGCATCTCAAACATGATGTATTGCTTTCTGGAAAAAGCATTTACCCATAAAAACTCATCATACTCACAACCACACTGCACCATATCAAGTCTACAATTAATTAAGTTATTGCTTCATTAATATTTTGATGTTCATATTAATGAAGCATCATCCACTGCAAATGTTTTGCCATGCAGATACACTTGTTATAATTGAACTCCATTTATCTTATTACCTTCCAATTTCAGCCCATTCCTTCATATGCAAACCTATACAATTGGCATCTGATGGTTACAGTACGCAGAGTATTTCAAGTCCTCCAGATCTATAATGTTACCTAATATGGAAACATTTTACACCTGCCATTAGTCAATACTCTCATGACATTCATGATTACCTTTGTGTAAATAATCTGAGCCCAGCAGATGTTTTCCATTTTGTCACTGGAGTAAATTTCCTTTATAGCCAGTGGAAGGATTTGGCTTTGGACTTTGCTTAACGCAGCAAATGTACATTCACAGTACCTGTATTCATTAGAAAGTGTCACAACTTCCACTGGCTTTATCACTTCATCTTCAAATGATTACGCTAGAGTAACCACTACTAAAAGTGACCTTCAGTAAATATCAAATAAACCAACAGAACAAAATCTCAAGTGTAAAAAACACTGTTTTATTGTTGCCATGGTCAATAATTTAAGACCAATCAGAAGTGGCACCACCCCATTCAGTTGCCTGGGCAGTGGGGGCTGTGGACCAGTCCTCTGTAGCAGGCTGAGTACTCCAGTCCTCTGCGGGGGAAAGAAAACCATTTATTCAGCATTTTTGGGGGGGGGGGGGGGGGGGGTAGACACCCACTACATGTTCATATATTTGAGATTCTATACAAACTTACCAGAAAAGACTTCGCCTGTCTTTGCAACAGCTGGAGCAGCTGGAATAAAGTCAAACAGTTGAGTGCCCAATAAAGTACAACACAACAAATTGCAGTTCTATCAAAACAAAGTAGTTCTTACGTGCAGGGAACTGCTGGATGGGAACAGATGGCACAGCTACACCCTCTGACCAGTCAGCCACCTCAGGTTGGGTAAACTCAGCCGCAGGGGCGCTCCATTCACCCTGGAACTCCTCCTTTCCAACAGCCTTCTCAGCTGCAGCCTGCTCCTCCTTCTCAATCTGCATTAAAAAGATGTGCATTAGGTGCAAATCAAATCACACACCACAATCTGAAGCCACTGTACATTTTGAGGTGAACCACATTTATCTTACCTCTTCAGGGTCCCTGTAGAAGTACAGATCAGGCATGACCTCCCATGGGTGCTCCCTGGAGATTGTTCCCCTCATCCTTAGAACCTCCCTGGCCAACATCCACCACATCAGACCGACAGAGTGGTGACCCTGAAATAGTCAGAAGAGGATATTTAACATTAAAATACACAATTACTAAATGTTTAATATCCAGAGGCCTCAAGATCCTCAAAACAGTTGACTTTGTGGCAAGACCTCTACGCCCACATCCCCATGTGGCTCAGAGATGGGGGGTTGAGGCCAAGCATTTTTATTTAGCACACATCCTACACCCTGCACCGCACAGTCAGGACAGCGCCGGGCTCTAACAGTGTGCAAGATGCAAGTTGTCAGGATTAGTAAATGTTTGATTCTTTCAAGTGGTCTCACCTTGTTGTTACAGGGGATGGCAATGTCCACATATCTCAGCGGGGAGTCAGTGTTGCACAGGGCAATGGTGGGGATGTTGACGTAGGAAGCCTCAGTTAGTGGCTGATGGTCAGCACGAGGGTCAGTCACAATCAGGAGACGGGGCTCCCTGAAAGCTGCCTGGATCTGATTGGTGAATGTACCAGGGGTGAAGCGACCGTGGAAGGTGGTGGCACCGGTGGCAGAGGCGAACTTTAGCACAGCTCTCTAAAGTGGCCAGAACGAACAAGTTATACTCAAGATCTCAGTGAAATTACTAATTTATCTGATAAATTGAACTGTGGCTCAGGTCACTATCAAACCCCAGTCATGGGACGACAGTCCTCATGGTGTTAGCGAAAACCCGGCCGGCTCACTCTTGCACACTTCCGACACCTGAACACCGACATCGGTGCCCGGCTTTAACAGAGTGCGTATCATAGCTCAAATAATACCATCAAATAATAACAGCAGTGACTCAGTGCAACAGAGCATCAGTTTACGCAGCCATCCGTTTTAACTTTACCTGTCCAGTGTTCCTGGAAGAGATGACGCAAACGTCAGCCGGGTTTTCAATGGCAACAATGGCCCTGGCAGCGAGCAACAGCTTCTCCCAGGTCTTCTTCAGGTTGATGATGTACACACCTGGTGTGCAAGAAGACAAATTCTTACTTCAATCACCATATAAAACCTTTAACAGCATCGCCACGGTGGGGGGAGCATTTCCACTCACCGTCACTTTTTCTCTTGTAGACATACTGATCCATCTGGAAGTCTAAGTTGGTGCCTCCCAGGTGGGTCCCTGCAGCCAGGAACTTCAGCACATCCTCCTCCTTCATTTGAAGGACATCCAGACCTCCGGACATCGTGACCACTTTCCCTGCGTTACGAGTTAGATGGGAGAGCTGGGAAAACAGGACGACAAGCATTGGTCAGGAAACCACCAGCTCGTGTCAAGTCGGCCCATATTCTGACATCATGATCATTATTGATAGATTTTTTTAATTTAAATTTATGAGTCTTGCAAAAAGGACACTCATGCAGCACAGGAGGCATTAACGACAGGCATCCGGGTAACAGAGGCCTTTAAGAGCGAATAACCACAATTCAAACCATGTGTGGACCCACTTGGTCTTTTACAGATTTAATAACATTTGTCACCATTTCCTCTGGGTAAGCTGCGACCATTAAGTCAAACCCGCTTTTTAGAGTCGGGCGCGAGGGGAACACCGCGAGATGAGCGCGTGTCAATGGCTAGCAAGTTAGCTAACATGTTAGCATTATCTGCTTTAGGATAAATTCACACGATATCGGCGCGACAAACAGGATTTATGTTGTCTCGCTGTGTACTTTACGGTTAGTCTATCATTACATCGTGCTCTTTGCGATGTTTAAAGATGTATTACAATTGAATAATGCATTTTTAAACTCACCACGAAACAACGCCGTATGGAAGTCTGACCACACGGTGAAAAGAGGACGCTGGGAGGAAATGACGTGTTATAAATACCACATTTCCAGGCGTGTGATTGGTTGGTTATTGTGAATGTAGTTCTGCAGGTTCGCCACTAGATGAGGTTCATCTACATGTCTACGAGGTTTACGCCATGTCCTGTAATGATGGTAGCAGAGGTAACCAGAGGTTGGACCGCGGGTCGGATGGGTATCCCATATTAAGACAATGGAGATGGAAAGACCATATTAAGACAATGCTGAGACGCTGAGTTCTGACCCGTGTTGCAACCAGCTATATTTGCTAGAGATAAAGAGTTCCAGGCAAAGGGAACATAATATGTACACAATGACACAGTCAGTTGAGAAATAATTTTAGTGAAACTGAAACGCGTCTTATGTCCATAAAGTTATTATACTATAATCCTAAAAGAACACTTTAGATTTTAATAACGTCAAAGGAAAGACTCCCAGGCAGATATGTAGGACATGGCAATGATGTGTTGATTCAAAACTCAGATTTGGGTTAATGTCAAGGACATTAGAGGCGATGGATGTTACAAATGAGGATTAAAAAAAGGGAGTTGTATAAAATGTTTTGGAGCTGTTTTCTGGGGGAAATCCAGGTTGTCAACACATTCAGTCTTTTTGGTCAGTGACCCTGAAGTACTTCAGAATTGATTTATTAGGATCCCTCAAGGCAAAGACATTGGCTGCACGTCATTTTGTATTCAAACTATGCCCCATACTTCTGACACAAATTCGCACACAGCTTGTTAAAATGATGAGGCGCCTATTGTCAAGAAGTTTAGAAGACAAAGATTATTCTTCCATAATCTCCTATTATTTACATAAGGTTTGTGTGTCTGATGAAGTGAAAATACAATATCTGGAGACTAAATCCAATCAAAAGTAAAAGGAATGAGTCTTTCTCAAGTATTGTAGTTGTATATGTATCTGATCTTTAACGAATACTTAACCAGGCTATTTTAGTAGATAGCTCCCCCTAAATATCTTAATGTCTTACTTTAGCCTGACAATCCTGCACATGTCCTATTTGATATTATGTCACCACACCCCCTGTACTGCTTATCTCTGTCTCACAGTGCTGTGATAAGTCTTTGGCCTTTATGTTCTGGCAGTCCACTGCGATATGCTGAGCAATATGTCTTTCTAATCTCTTTGACAGTTTTACAGAGTCAGCCATTGTTTTATATTCTGTCCATTAATAAGAGAAAAGTATCAAAGTTCATATAGTGCAGTTTGGGTACCTGAACTTGAGTTTTTAAGTCAGAAACATGCACCAAAAGTAGTTATCAATTCTGCTATTGGTCCTTTCCACCACTGCTAACTAAATAAGCAAAGATAACCAAAAATATCAATATTGTGTCTCTGGCTGCCTATTTCTGCTTCTGCACGCAAGGAGGACGCATGTGAAACGCAGTGTTGAAATAAGCTTGTTAAGTCTGCCGGGGGCCAAGAATTCATATTCATATTTGCACTACAATATTACTGAGGTTAGCCAGGATTCAGGCACCAATGTGAGGCTGTCACTTCCCGTTGAATCAATTGACAGTAAAAATATGGGTACACAAAAATTAATCTTTCACATGAGTATATTGTACAGTGCTTTATTTTCTTAAACATCCTTAAGAAGGTAGCATATTTAAGTTACAATGGTAAACAACAAATATTTAAAAAAATGTTACATTTTAAAGGCAGATGAATATACCAAGTAAAAATTGCATGCATATATTATTTCGTTTTACAAATAATATAGCAATATATTATATATGCCTCTACAGCTTTCAAAGCGTGTCTTGACAGAACTGATGGGGTTAAAGTGCATTACAGAAGTCCGAGCTGTATCTGGGACACTGTCTTGAGTAATTAAGGATTGCACCACTGCAGGAGAGGCAGGAATTCCCACTGAGGCATTTTGAAAACGTAGAAAATCTCAATGATTGACGGGTTCCAAATACTCATTAAGGATCAGATTTTTTTAACAACTTGTAGTGCAATACAGAACATCACAGCATACCTATATGAAATATTTTCTTCAGAGTTACTAAACACAGGCCAAAAATCTGGTTCCTGAACTTCAGCCATAACCCAGGAAAGCACATTCTCCACACCACTCTTGTAATATGTGTTAGTCATTTAGACAACATGTGGATGCTTTCTTTGCTCTCCAGTCTTCATCTCTTGTTGCAGTGACATATGTAAAGCCACTGAAAGCCTTTGACACTTATGAGCAAAACAAGATTAGGTGAATCTCTACTGTAGCCTTTCCTTTCATGCTCGTTACCGTCTTCACACTGTGACTTGACTTTTATCTCTTGCAAGTTTTTCATCAACCCCCTTCAAGACTTTAATCCGAAACGGGCCATCATCTGCTCGTACACCGTCCATGCCATGGCGGCCATCATGGTCCTCCTCAGTGCCCGTGGAACTGCCCCTCTTAAGAACCCCTGGAGTCCATGTTCCTGAGCGAGAGAGGACAAGGTGGAAGAATAAAGACAGGCGCCACATTTAATCATTAATAGTATTGCACAGTTGGTCTGTTCAACTGGATTTCCCCAAATGCAACTGATGCTGGTCATGAAATCCTGAAGAGCAAGATAATAAAGAATAACACATATTTTGACCCGACTATGTAAAAGAGGAGTGAGCTAGTTACCGTATAGATGTATCTGACAGCCTCCGCTGTCCTCAGCTGTGGATTGACTTGGACGTGTGTTTTAACCACATCAGCAGGCTGCGTGATCAGGGAGGCCAATACACCCGCCAGGATCCCACAGCTAAAGTTAGCCAGGGGGGCGGAAGCAGACGTGCTGATTTCTTGAGGGAAGATGGACATTAGGTATTTAATTGTAATAGATATTAAAAACAATTACTATTTAGTTTCAGGCTTTTAAATGTAAAGAAAAAATACAGCTTAAAACGAGACCAACAGCTACTGTTTTTTTGTGTCAATTATAACATGCTGCTGGTTATTCCTGAAGGGCCTCTTGTGTGTACCTTTTGGCAACGAGGCCTTGGTCTGGCTGTAGAACATGACGTAGATACCAGAGAAAGGAACATCTCTGAGGAGGGTGGCCATCAGGCCAGAGAACAGAGCTGCAGGACCTTCAGCCTGACACACACTGCGCAGAGCCCCGATCACACTCCCATAGCTGTACCTGCCGCACTGAATCACAAAACACACATTTAGTTTAGTTTAATACGCACATAACACATTTGTTCAAATACAGACAACACACAAAACTAAAAACATTTTGTGCATTGTAGCATCTTCTTTAAATACAGACTGCTGTTTGCATTGGCGAAAGTATCTGTATAATATTGATAATTCAATAACCATCTCAAACTCCCAATCAAATGTTTCAATTGAATGAAAAAAATACTGTAAGACATGCTGGTGACAAAAAGGTTGAGAACCACTAGTTGAAGTTGTGGTATTGCAGCATTCAGGGAAAATCTATTTCTCATGAACTGTGATAACAACACACACATACGCACGCACAGGTCTGCCTGTGCTTACTTCAAAGCGTGTCTTGATGACAGTGACCGGCAGCATGAAGACCCCTGCCACAGTCCGGGCCCCGCCTCCCAGCAACACGGCCTCCATGGCCCCCGGCCTGCGGTCCTGGAAGAAGTGTTGCTTTAAAGAGTAGTAGGTGCTGAAGTAGATCCCCACTCCTGGGATGGTCCGGACAAAGGACTAGAGGAGCAGATGGACGAGAGAGCAGAATGAGAAAAGGGGAACTCTGAAGCTGGTGAATTTGTTCACTTTTTTGGATACACAAAGAAGGGAGAGACAGAATTAAGAGGTTCTAACCGGTGAAATTCCTTTCCACAGTCCAAGAAGCCTCTCCGTCCGCACCACGCTCTGGAGCACAGCCACCATCCCCACTCTGCCCGAACTGAAAAGGTCGTCGATGGTAAATAATCAATACTGCGTTCATGTGTGATGCAAGATTTAGCTGAGGCAAACCTTTCTTTTGTGTTCATCCAGTCAATATTGCAGTCAGGGGTCACAAGGCAGCTAGTGATACTGATAACTCTGTGTGTGTGTGTGTGTGTGTGTGTGTGTGTGTGTGTGTGTGTGTGTGTACAGACTCACCCAGGCTGCTTGCCACTCTGCAAAGTCTGCAGACGGGTCTTGACCAGGTCGAGAGGTTGGAAAAGCAGTGTGGAGCAGGTCCCACTGAGGGAGCCGCACATGAAGGCTTTGATAGCTGGGTGAGCCTGAGGGGAGGAGGGGGTGAGAAGTGAAAGAGAGGGAGGATTTAATGAAAGCTTGACAGGAGGTAGCTAATAATCACTTGATTTACAGCATTAGCACTGTGTGCTAAAATTGTGCTACAATTACATGCTGTAGTAGTGATACCATCAGTGAGTCAAGTATCTGTTTTCCAAATAAATGTTTGTGTCCTAAAATTACAAAAATTACTAAAGTATTGGTTCTTTGAGGGTGTTACACCACTGTTGTTTTTTTGGTCTGCTGGTTCCTATAAATTATGTCAGGCCAAAAATGACCCATGTAGCTGTGATGCAAGCATATTTTTACAATCAGAATATTATATAAAAATATTTACAACACAGGTTAAAATAACCTTTTAAATCTAGATTACATTGTGCTTGACACTGAAATTTTAACTCCATGTTGCTTTGTTATTCACACTCAGTCCCCCCTCCCAAATCACTTAATCTGCAGCTCTACAACCACATCTGGACTCCCGGCGGTCAGAAAAAGGAGGCTAAAGTTAGTCATCAGTATGTCAGAACAGTTTTATCGGACAGACAGTGTGCCCTGATCTCGAGAAAAGGCTCAACAACAAGGATGACCCTTATGTTTAAACCTCATCACTTAAATATCAGGTTCACAAAAGTGTACATAATTGTTCCGGCTGAAAAACTCACCAGTGAGAGCTCCATAGCTCTTCAGCACGATGTCTACTTTTTTTTGCCCAACCCAAAAACTCTTCTGTTTTTCCTCCTTTGTCAGTCTTTCACTCCTGTAGTGCTGAAATGAAAAAAAAAGAGGCACAATGAGAAGTGGCCTCTCAGTGATGGGGTTTCTCGCTGATGATGGAGCATGTGCACAGTCCTGCTGTCTGGGTCAGGCTGCAATGATTACACACACACACACACACACACACACACAGCAGGCTAAATATTACTTGTCACCTGACGGACACTGTGTCCCCTATTTGTGACCACCCAACACACAGCTATTCATTAACTAACCAAAGATCACTGTGCTGCATATTAGGATGTCCTGGTGCCTGTTTTGAGTGAATTTGAACACACAATGAACTAATGTAGTGTGTGTGTGTGTGTGTGTGTGTGTGTGTGTGTGTGTAGAAAGCATGAGCACTGGAGTTATCTGGCTAAGGATGGATTCAGCACAGGGTGGGGGGGTTCTCTTGTCTGAACAATGTCTTGGTTTGTTGTCTCCAGACAGATGTTTGTGGGGTTTAATCCCACACCTGCACTTTTGGTTTATACTTCAGTAAGACTCCATGAAGAATAGAAGATAAAAGGAAATGAAAGGTGTGAAGTGGCTGGCAGACATTGCCTAACAACACCAATATCATTTAATACATTCACAGGCTACAGACAGACAGAAATCAGTCAAAGACCAGGTGTGCGGTCTTGTCATCACAATATGATTATTCTTGTTCTGCTGTTGAAATGTTACACAGCATGATATATTATTATTATTTATATTATTAGTAAGTTATATAACGTCCTTACCCTCTCTAACCTGCCTCCTCAAATCTTATGGGGAGACTGACATCACGAGTCTGAAGCCGTTGGTCAGCTACTAGGATAACTGAGTAATTGTCAAAAGGGTCCAATAAACCAAAAGGACACGGTGAGGGTTGTTATTAAAAGGTGCAGTCTTCTTCTTGTGGCAGGGCAGCGGCTCCGCACCTTACTGTTCTGTCGCAGTCAAGTTTCCTCTCCGTCGAGGGTCCGAGAAACAGCAGCAGCCACGTTAATGAACGCGAGTTCTTCTGAGCGACACACCAGGACCTCGGCCGTCACAGGAGCTTTATGCTGCAACGTGAAGGATGGTCCAGTGGGCGTCTCACTGAAAAGTTAACCGGCCGGGTCCTGTTTGACGACGCGGCGTGACGCCACAGCCCCGGAGCTGCTGGCTCCTGATAGGTCAACCAGCTGACCGGGACGTGATTATGAAACTTGGTTACTCTTTCTCAAAAACTCAATTTAGGCAGAACAAATGTGTGTTTAGTCGATTACAAAACTTCACCCACAAAGTGAGGATGAGACTGATAGATAACTGTAAATATCCCAAATAGCTTGATATTCAGAAGTGAAGAAACTATTTCAATTCTGTACCCGAGGTAATGTAAACACTACCACCAAAATGACTGTATTATAAGTAAAAGACAACATTTTACTTAAGTAAAATAATCGTTATAAGCGAAATGTAAATGTACTAAAATTAAAAAAGTTTTTTAAAAAACTCATAAAGCAGCACTTAGAGCTATAACTATCATACTATTGTATTAGCATTATATACACACTACATGTGTGTGGTTTTCAAGTGAAAAATAAATATTTATATTTAATATTGAAATAGCAGCTAGGTGTCAATTAGGCTAAATGTAGGTGTAAAAAGTAGCCTACGACTTTCTCCCGAGATCCAGGGTAGTAGAACTATTAAATAATTATTAAAGTAAGCAGAAAATACTTACCATATTTAAAGCTGTTCTAGTAACAGAACAAATATTTTATAAACAATAAAAACGCTGTATCAAGGCATCATGGTTAAAGTGAAGGCTGTCTTATAACACAAACATGCAAGAAACAAAATACTACGAACAAGACTTCTCACCCACATTTCCCATCCTTGTTTACTTTATTTTACTACTACTCCACAGTGAAACCGGTCCTGGCCGGATTGTGCTTGTCGTGTCCCTTTTTGAAAACCCCGACTGCCCTCTGCTGGTGACACATCGTTGAATAAACTTAGGTCTAGAAGGTCAAGTTCTGGACTTCAAACCTGATGTTACTCCACCCCTCAAATGATTGAGCTTAAAACCACCTGTAAATAAAACGACAGTATAAAACAATTATTTTTTAAAAACCCACAGGAAGTCGACATGTACCCTAGTTTCTAAGAAAGCCTCTTTAATTGCAATAATACCAAAATTTCACAACATGATTTCCATTCCAGAAATGCAGACATAAACGTTGCAGAAGAATTGTTGGAGATGCAGTTGTTTTTTTCAAAAGAGTGATCCTAATCTGAGCTCCTATTCTTAAGTAACAACACGTTCCTCTCACTTCCCAGCAGTGTGAGCCAAAAGCCCCCTGAGCACAGCCTGTGAGAGGTTTACATCATCCTGACGAGTACAATCCTGCGAGTAGAAATGGACTAAAGAGCACAGGGACGACCAGGAAGCCGCCGTGCAGGGCTCGTGATGCTCTTAGGCATTAAGGCAGTTAGGGCGCAGAACCCCTGGATCCTGAGACACGAAGGGGCCACAGAGAGGGCAGCCAGGTCGCTGACCCTCTTGGCCGACATCAGAGCCAAGAGCAAGGCAACCTTGGCCGAAAGAAACTTCAGGTCCGCTGGAAACGCTTCACCATTGGGTGAGTGAACACCATCCAGGAGGGCCGCCAGGAATTTTGGGCCCTATGACAAAAAACTCAAATTGGACCCCCTCTGCGCAGCTGTTGTCACCACTTCTCTAGGACTTAACTGTCCCATCAAAAGCTTTACATAACTCTAATTAAAGGCTTGCAAGTGGCTGGCTTCTTGTAGTTCAATACTAGTACTAGCACAATATTTACTGCTGACCCGACCAGACCCTATGAAGCTCATAATCGCGCCCCTGGGAGAGGGCATCCCAACCACCCTGCCCAGTAGAATTCAGATGCATTTAAGGCCTTCGTGTGTGTTGGCAGTCTGTGCACTTATGAGCATGAACACGGTCTTTCCAAAACTTCCAAGCTTCTCCGTCAGTGTTTATAAAAAACACAAATGCATAGCCTAGTCCTTTTTAAAGAACTGGGAGTAACGGGTAAAACATTCAAAATAAAAGTAGGCCCATGTAGCCTACATCTGTTGTTAGCAATGTGATTTATAGTTTACACTTATGCTAACTAAAATAACGTATTTTAGTAAAACTAAACTAAAACTGGGTGTGGAATAAAAACATTTTAGATAACTGAAATAAAAATAACAAGTAACCAAAAATAATAACAATCACAATCCTATCTGTCAACGGAACGTATTTAAGACCATATTGGTGACCTGCAACTTCAGATTAAGATAATATGAACTGGTGTGATAGGAAGCTTAGGATAGCAATTAGGCCTATATATTGTAGTTATTATTATTTAATTTATATTTTACTTTTGAAACATTTATTCATGGTCGCTATGTGGAAGCTCAACCAGCAGAGGTCACTCTACCCACTCTCTGCTGAGGCGCCCAGAGGTTCTGCGTATATATCAAAGAGTAGCACTGCTACCACAGGAAGCTGTTCACTGATTTTGAAGCCATAGGGCAGAGGTCACTAATAGGCGGACCGCGGTCCGGATCCGGACCCAGCCGCCGTCCTCTCCGGACCGCCGACCTACAGCACATTTATTATTGAGACTTACTACCTCGTGACGGAGCGTTTCTATTTTAACCCGCGCAGCTTTTCTAGCATTTACTGTACTGGTTTAGAGGACCAGGAAACTCACAGACCAATCGCATGTGCTCCAATCGTCTCATGTGACGCTGCTCAGCCAATCAAATCTGTGCATTCCGATGCTTGCGAGTCGAGTCCGCGAGATTCACCAGAGACGTTTTGGAAACACACGCGAATTGAGGGGACGAAAGATTATGAGATTTCACATGACTTTTTCAAGAATGTACAGATTTTTACATGTACATTCCTCCCACGGGCAGTTCAAAACCAGAATATCTCATAGATCTCCAATATGCTAGCTGGAGCTCACGTTTCTCACTGAACAACAGAAAGTAGGAAAGTGGTAGCTCTGTAAGAGGAAATGAAAGAGAAGAGGAGGCATTACAGCTGTTCATTTGTTATGAGTGTTTATTATAAAATTGGTTAAGACTACACTTCATCACTTCAAGCTACACTTTTTATTACATTTTTTCTAAAAATTAGGCACTTTAATTTAGTTTACTTAAATTTAGAAGTTATTATTTGAATAGTTGTTATTTATTATCCTTCCAGTTTGATGTGAAAACTGACTGAAATATTATTTGATTTGACAGTCCGTTGTTGACTAAAAACATGTGTTGATACAACTATAGGTTATAGTACTGAATGATAACGCAAGTTCGTCGTTTTGATGTTCCGGACCTTTGCTTCAGGAAATTTTCTCTAACTAGACCTCTTTGAAATCTAATTGAATACCCCTGCCATAGGGTGTGCAGAATTTATCCTGCCATCTAGCTACTCTTTTAATGGCACTATCACTGTTAAAACCACTCTCAGCTTCCGCAGTCTACTGTTAGCCCTTCTGTTTCAAAATAAAACACAAATCTGAGTTGTATAGCCTACTCTTTGCAATTTTAAGACATTCGCCAGTGTAATATATAGCCTAGTATTAAGTTAATTAGATTAGGTGTTTTACAATCAGCTTGTTGTCATCATTGTTATGTAGGCTAACCTATGTGAAACCTGGTGAGCATTACCACCCTCCTATCCCTTTGCCTTCCCAAAAGGACCACAATGGAAATAAGCCGTCTGACTTTATTGTGTTTTTATCCTTTTGATGGTATTTGTAGTTGGGAATCTCTTGCTGGAGGTGTCACTTTTATATGTACAATCAACAAAGAAGTTCATTGATTCATTATTATTATAATTATTATTATGATTATAAAAAAGCTTCTTCTCTGCAGGGCAAATCTGCATTTCTTGGGTTTAATCCTGTGTGATGAACCATCAGGGAAAGGCAGTGCTCTGCATTGATTGTACCTGGGTAAAGTGAAATAAAATAGAAATCTACTCAACCTTTCTACTCAGTGAGGCCTTCAGTGCAGAAATACAAGTTCCTTCACATCCACAGGCCTTAGGTTGTTAAACAGTACTTAACTATTAATGATTTAAACAGGAAATCTTCGGTGTGAGATCTCAAAAAAGTACTGTCCCACAGACAAAAGTTGGCACAAAGACTGGAATGTGTTCTTTGCCAAAGGGTCATTGCTAGATCATTCACGTCAAAATGACCTAACTCATCCAAGGATTGTTTATTTATCAACTTTGCCAAACAGCTGCATTTTCCAGGTCTCAATCTACAGAGAAACAGTTGTCTCTGGCAGCTCAAATTGCTATCAGCACATAACTAAATGTTTCACTAGAGATTAAAATCATTATCAGACTTGCGTCAGCCTACATCCTAGGTGTTAACTCTACAATAATAGCATGCAATGTGTATGATGTGTCCTGAAAAGTCTTCTTAAGCCCCCATCCCAGATGTGTATGACATTAGAAGAAAGCAAACACTCTGTTTTTGTTTTGTTTTGTTATTGTCTTAATACACTCAAAAATATGAAATATATCTAAATAAATCTACCTTCTCGTTTCTTCAGAATGGTGATGGCATATACCTTGTTTGTGTGTGTGTGTGTGTGTGTGATACTCATGCAGATCAACAGCTGGGATGATCACAATCTCCATGATTGACTGTACTCTGGCACACCTTCCTGACCATCCCTTTTGCAAAGTAGGCTTTTAACCAGAACAAAGAAATATGACCATATTACTTCTATTTTAGCTTCATTACACTGGCTCCCAGTGTGTTTTAGAATTGACTTTCTTTCTATTGATCACTTTTAAAGCTCTTCATGGCCTCTCGCCTTGTTATATTTCTGACCTTTTAGTCCCATACACACCAGCACGTACCTTGAGATCCTCGGGCAGAGGTCTGTTGTCTGTTCCAGAGTCTCGACTGAAAACTAAAGGGGACAGAGCGTTTACTGTCAGGGCCCCGAGGCTCTGGAAGAGCCTGCCCGAGGAAATCAGGTCGGCTGAGTCAGTGAACTCTTTTAAGTCCCTTCTTAAAACATACTTTTATAGGAGAGCCTTTCCCGATCTTATTTGACTTTATTTTATCCCTTTTATTTTATTCTATTTTACTAATTTTATATT